CCCCCCCCCCCCCCCAGTCTGTATGCTGCAGCTATAGCTTATTTGTCTGACAGTTACCTTGTACTTGGTGCTATGGTACGCAAAGGTTATTGTAATTTATATGCAAAGCTCAATGAATATAGAATTTAAAAGTGCCCCAGAGACATTCTTGAAATGAGATGCCAAATCTCAGAAGTTGTATCTTTATGAGGAAAATTTGAATACAAAACACCAAGGTTTATGACTCTTGCACATATTAATTCATACCAATCCATGTTATAAGAGGATTAAAGGGGCTATTTTTCATCGTGGGCTGAGACAGGAACTCCGCCAGATTTACTGACTTGCTGTGAGAAATCTACTTTATCTGGCTGATAGATAACTTTAAAGTGTAAATCACGATGGTGAGCTCATCACAAGTCTACCATTAGCAGGCTAGAAAATGCTTGGTGTTGCAGATCACGAGATTTTGAAAACAAGGTGAGCAAACTGGTCAGCAAAAACAGACCCTAAACTTCGCGCTTTATTTTCTGTCATAGGAAAGTTACCAGAACTGAAATCAAAACAATTTTTATTATACATCCATTCCCTTGGCAACTACCAATAATCGTGGCTTTGTGGGAGAGTCTAGATTTTAGAAGATACTATTATAATTGTGCAGACTCAAGAATTCTTACCTCATCTGTGGCCCAGGTGTTTTGTCTGGGAAGAAAAAGGGAAACCAAATGCCCTGTGGAAATCCCTGATGTTCTCCTTAAGGAGCCTTGTCCACCTCTGTTCTCTCCAATGTCCTATAAGTAGCCCATTGGGTTTGTACCCTATTTGCTGTGTGAGGAACTGGTCACTTCAGGATTACATCATACAGAAACCCAGAGTCCAGAAGCTTGGAATACCAATGCTGACAAAAGATCACAAAGACTTGAAATTTCCTCTATAGACAAACAATATTTACATTAATACTTTCAAATGCATTCAGTAACTGGAAAGACAGCAGCCATGATATTTCCATCTTAGTACGGTTGTTACTGATTTGTCCTCCTGCTGGTAAAAGCACACATTGCACTCTCTGTGCCTCATGCAAACATGAAAGCACGCACAGGCAGATGATGTGCTTTCAAGCCATCCACAGATGGTTTCCCCATCAGGGTTTACTTTGCCATTTAGACCTCCTGCTTCACAGCCTCCTCTCGGTGTTGTAGTCCCTATTTTCTGTAATTAACTTCTGTTCCTCCCCCTATTTTTTTTTTACAAATGCTTTTCACTCTGATGCTTAGAGTCAACCGTCTCCCCAAAGCACTGTGATATTTAACAGCATCCGGAAAAAATGTGGTTAGAGAATTGGGACACTTAAAGGAGACACTGCTCTCGTAAATGTGCATTCACATTTTTGAATAGATATTCAGAGGGTGGGAATGTAGATGAGGGAGAAGCTATGAAAGGGCTTATTACTAATTAACTGTATCTATTTCTCCCCCTTTTAAACTGCTTTTTGTTTATCATTTCAGCTGGTAGGGTAATACACTAAATTAAAGCTGCAGAACACAATTATAATTAAGATTCAAAAAGCCAATTGCCTGTTAGTAAACTACCAATTGATAATAATGTAAGGGATATTTATAGCTCTTTGCTAAGTGTGCCACAGATTTGCATCAATAACATACTTGCTAATCTCCAAACATTTTATTCAATAGCTTTTTATTTACTATTGAAGGTAAGATTACTCTTCTCAAGCCATCCTTTCTAAAAGTGTCTCGCTTTCATTTTGTTTGCAGAGTTCAGCAAACACAGATGCTTCAGTCCTTTCCTCTCTTATGCAATAGTAATAACAGTATATAATTACTAGCATCACACCATACAGAAAACCTTGCTATAAAGAACATACTATACATAGTTCAGCACTCATAGCATCTTGCTATCTCTACAGCTTCTTCTTTCTGAGTCATCTCACATATTCTATAGAGGAGAAAACAAACCACCTTACCCAGGAGAGGAATAAGCCACCTTTGGGCAGAGCCCCAAATGTAGGGCCCTAGTTTTTGTTCCTTTCACAGGGAGGTGAAGCAAGACATGTTTAAAGAGTTAAAATAAAATACATTACTGAAGTGATAGATTTTGGTTGATGTTTAGTGTGTGTTATTGGGGGATTAATAACGAACTTTTACAATTTTTTTAATCACTATAAAAAAAGAGTGTAACTCATTTCAGCTGTGTGATAAAGTATAAATAATCGCAATGGGACTTTTTTATGAAATGTTATTCTTGCATCATATGTTTGCTAAAATTTGAGTGGCCTCGTAGTACTAATTATTGGATTAATTATGAGACACTGTGTATTATCCCATCATGTGTACAGCAGTAAGAGACCTACGCAGGCACAGGTGCCTGTCTGCCATCCACTGTTTAGGCACTGGAAGGACAATGATGAAGCGTGAGAGTGTCTCATCTCTTATTGTGCCATGACTGCTCTTGAAACACAAGTGCCAAAAACGTGCTAAATATATGAGCACCTGCATGATTGAGAAGGGATATGGCGTATACCAAGGACCAAAGACAGTGATGCAAGGTTATATGGTGGGGTGATGTAGGTTAAATAGAGGCAGAATGGCTGCATTGGAAATTAAAGCCTGAATTGTGCTTGTAGCTACTGCCAGGAGTGAGGAGCTTGGAGACTAGAGCACACCATCTTGGAAAAAAAGCCTGGGAGATCCCTTACAAAAATGTAGCTCTTTATCAACCTGAACCTTTTGTTGGAGGGAAAATGAGAGCTAGAAATGAATGATCTGCCCATTCCTCAGCACTCCTTGATAGCAGGGTCTGGGTAAGGGAAAGACAGAAAGAAAACAAGTTTACCTTTGTCCTGCACATGTGGGAAGAATATCAGTAAACCTGTGTAAGAAAATATTCCCAATCCTGAAGCAGGGTTGTAACTTCTCCCAGCCACAATTGGCTCTGTGAGTCAGCCTGTAAATAAATATTTTTATTCTTCAAAGACACATACCTTATGACTTAAGCTGGAAATGCATGTGAGAGCTGAAAAAAAAGGGAGGTAATAGTGCAAAGAAAAATGGATAGGATGCAAGGGAGAGCTTTGCTGTCACTACAGCAGAAAGGGATGCAGCATGAGAGCATGAGTTTGTCAGAAATCTTGCCAGGAGTCTAAGGTGGCACAGGTTTCCTCTGCATCTCCTCTCTTTGGAGCTAGACGATGTCAACCTTCCCATAGGTTGGCTGAGCACAGGGTGAATCCAGGTGATGATTATGCAAGTGATTTTTGCTTCCTATGCTGCCTATCATGAATTTTATTATGGGTGGGCAAGTGAACTGGCTCGCCCCAGGTCTGGCTAGATAATTATATGGTCATTACTAACCATATTACTGAAGGGTAAATATGCAGTTATTTTTATCCATAAAATCAGCTCTTTCAACCCTAAGACTAATTCCACATTATTATGCAGCAGTATGTAATTACTATAAGACAGCTTCTACCCTCAAAGAAGCAGGCACTGTTCCAAATGAAATCTTTCAGGGTATTAAGCCATGCAATCTGACAGCAGGATTTGTCCTCTATCAGCTACCCAATAAAAATTATAAAACTGTAACTAGAAAATAGGTAGTAACAAGACCCTATTACCAGGCATAAGCACTAACAATTCCTATCTCATTCAGGTTTGGAACAAAAATCAGGTTTTTGGTGTTGGGTTTGTTTTGGTTTGTTTTTTTTTTAGAAAGAAATGCATTATGTGGAGAAACATGTTGCTATAACACTTAAATTTCCCATCCCAGTGTGCTGATTGCTTTAGGTGTGACTCCTGAGAGAAAGCACTGCAAAGTCTCTGTGAAGTTAGATGTTAGGTAAAACAGAAGAGGAAAGGTAGTTGTAACTGGTATATCTGTATATCTGATGATCCTTGTAACTCTTTTCATTTCTTGCAGGTCCTGTTGCGTGATTTACCATGGAAAAATTGCTCTGCAGCATCCTGGTGTTTGGAATGGCTGTCATGGTCAACGCTTGTCCCAAATATTGTGTCTGTCAGAACCTGTCCGAGTCACTGGGGACTTTGTGTCCCTCCAAGGGTCTCCTATTTGTACCGTTAGACATAGATCGAAGGACTGTTGAACTCCGACTTGGGGGCAACTTTATTATTAATATCAGCCGACAGGATTTTGCCAATATGTCTGGACTTGTTGACCTCACTTTGTCCAGGAACACCATCAGTTACATACAGCCCTACTCTTTCACTGACTTGGAGAGCCTTCGGTCTTTACATCTGGACAGCAACAGACTGCCTGACATTGGAGAAGATATTTTGAGAGGCTTAATTAACCTTCAGCATTTGATTTTAAACAACAACCAGCTAAGCAGCATCTCTGATGAAGCCTTTGAGGACTTTTTGCTGACATTGGAAGACTTAGACCTTTCCTACAATAACCTCCGAAGCATTCCGTGGGAATCTATAAGGAAGATGATAAACCTGCACCAGCTCAGTTTAGATCATAACCTCATAGATTATATTACAGAGGGGACATTTGCAGATCTTCAGAAATTGGCCAGATTGGATCTAACATCCAACAGACTTCAGAAGCTCCCCCCTGACCCTATATTTGCCAGATCTCAAGTAATTTCATTAGCTGTTACCCCATTTTCTCCACCTTTGTCTCTCAGCTTTGGGGGCAACCCACTGCATTGCAACTGTGAGCTACTGTGGTTAAGGCGACTTGACAGAGATGATGATATGGAAACTTGTGCTTCTCCTCCAGGTCTAAAGGGAAGATACTTCTGGTATGTACGGGAGGAAGAATTTGTTTGTGAGCCTCCTCTTATTACACAACATACTCACAAGTTGCTGGTTTTAGAAGGGCAAACTGCCACACTGAAATGCAAAGCCATTGGGGATCCCACGCCTATCATTCATTGGGTGGCCCCTGATGACCGACTCATTGGGAACTCTTCGAGGACAGCTGTCTATGACAATGGCACCTTAGATATCCTCATTACCACCTCCAAGGATTACGGGACTTTCACGTGCATAGCAGCCAACGCTGCTGGAGAGTCCACTGCAACAATTGAACTCTCAATAGTTCAGCTCCCCCATCTCAGCAATGGCACAGGCCGAGCGGCCCCACCGAAATCCAGGCTCTCAGACATCACCAGCTCCAGCAAGTCTAACCGTGGGGAAACAAAAGGCCCACCAGAAAGGGCTGTCTTGGTGTCAGAGGTGACCACTACCTCAGCTTTGGTCAAGTGGACGGTGAGCAAGTCGGCCCCTCGGGTAAAAATGTATCAGCTGCAGTATAATTGCTCGGATGATGAAGTCCTGATCTACAGGTAAATGAAATTGCTATTTGGTCCTGTGATGATGGCAGGAGGTAGAAAGCAGGATATGAGGTAGCACTGAGATAGCACTGCCACCAGTAGCATTAGCAGTGCCTGATGAATTTGCGTTGTGCCTGTCAGTTTATCTGTTGGTCTGTTCATCACTTTTCTGTCTAAGTCATACCTTACAAATCTCTGTAGTATTCATTCTCTAACAACAGGTGTTTTCAGTAAAAATTCCAGTTTAGGAAAAAAATAGTACTGTAGTTGGTAGACTCCTTACTAGGTGTAACAAAGAAAGAATAACTTGACAGGCTAAAAGTCAGAAGTTTCTCTTTCCACCTCCTGTAGGTGGGATTGAAACAGACTACTGAGAGAGGAAGCGATGTGGGAGGAAGTTTGTGCTGTCTACCCATAACACAGGCTCTAATTATTCTGTGATTCAAGATTCAGATTTAGCAAGAGATTTTTCACCTACATGAAAGAGCTTGTTTCTTACTTCACTAACATCTGTTTTACACAACTGTAATGGCTGACAACTTTGGAGCATTTAATGTTTTATACTGTATTAAAAGCAAGAGGAGATAGAGATAATTTCAAAATCAAGCCCTGAATGTTCATTATGCTCCTTCACTTCTACAACCCCTCTAACTTTTAATGATGTAAAGCAATTATCTCTCCTGCAGTGAAGAAGTAATAAATTTTAGGGATTGAAAATGGGTAGGAACAGTACAGGAAAAGTGTTACTGCTTTTTCCTTCTGTCTTGGAAGAATGATTGACAGAGTATGCTCATGCTAGTGATGAATTCCTAGAAACCACCCTTTCCTGCCTTTTTATTGCACAGGCAGCAATATCAGATGCAGTGAGCTGAAGTCTCTCTTTGGCTATATGTGAGCTACCAGCAGAAGTCACAAGTCGTGGCAAAGTAGAACCAAACACATAAAGTCCTATAGCTCTATAAGCATCCTGAAGCCAGCAGAGAAAAAATTGATCTAGTAGAGGAATAATGGGATTTGAGTTTTGACTCTAATTTGAGAATGAAATCTGGCCAAAACATAGTCAAAGCCATTGATTTCCTCAGTTGGCTTGGCGTTATTTTCTACTGGCCTGAAGATTAATTGGTCCTTCTACTGCCTGCAATGAGAGCTGAGGCACTGGTCAAGTCACAGTACTCATCCTCAAGTTCCCAGAACAGACCCTGCTATTTTCTTCTTTACTGCAGCATAGTTTTCTTTACCCCGAGAAAGTAAAAACAAGAGATAGTTAATGTTCACATGCTGTTTTTCACTCACCCTTCTCTTACAGTGAAATCTAATTTTAAAGGGTTTTTTAGAGCTGAATGTTTAGTTGACATGGACAAAGTTTTGTGCCAGCAATACTTTTATCTCAATCAGTTGTAGAGCAGAATAATGAAATTATTTATTTAGGTACTTCAAACTTACTAATTCTTTGCCAAAAGTAGGAATACTGACCAGCAAGTCCAAAGAACATTTTTTTAAAAGGACATTTATTCAGATACTGAAATAATCTGAGGAAATTCAGTTCCGTTCACTTCCATTCCTCAATTATAAAAATATGTTGAAAAAAATCAAATTAATTAGCAGGTGGAAATTATTTGCCTTGCTCTGGCTAATGGACAGCGGAACTGCTGCGTTAGCTTTGGGACTTGCAGCTATGTGTAGTTAAGTACAATGAAAGGATAAGATAAAACTAAGTGATGATAGAGTATTAGGAATAGAATGAAAGAAAACATGTTAGTGTCATTTTTTTCTGAGGCAAAGCTTTTGGCAAAAACTCAGGAGTAATTAAGATCTTGAGCACAGTGAAAACACACTCTGAAGGAGGGATGACACTGTGTAGTGAATTTGGCCCAGTGAACAGGAATATCCCTGTAATCAGAAAGAGAAGTCTGCAGAGGTTATCAGGTGTTGGAATTGGTTGGATGCATCAATTTGCTAAGGAGGAGGATGACCAGGACAAATAAAACAAACAATGCAGAAATGAAGACATGCAATCGAGTAGCTGGAGGGGTGAGAATTAGCTGCCATGGGCAGAAATGAAAGATGCCATCTTGTCAGTCCAGTCTGGAGAAACAGGTGTCTGTCAAGGTGTCAGTCAGCCCTAAATTCTTATCCTGTCCTCACTGCTGCCTCTCAATAAGGTTTTGGCCCTTTGTTGCTTTACCTGGTTGTGGCTCAGTTTTCTAGAAGTACAGTAAGGACAGTGCTATTTCCATAAATCTCCCATCAGGGCTTTTTGAAGATTCATTGATGATGCAGTTCTTTTCATTCACAGCTCTTAAAAGCACTTCACTAAAGAAAACAAATTTTATTTCTCTACATTTTGCGCCAGAGAAAAGTGAAACGTAGAAAGATGAAATGAATTGTCCAGCATCTGAGAGTTAATCAGTGGCACTCATATTATCAAAACCAGCTCTTATGACTTTCAGTCAGGGAACTGCTCAATCCCTTAGAGTTAATTAACTAAAGCTGTTTTCCTTTAATTGGTCAGATGCATATCACTGCAATGAGTGTAGAAAAACCTAAGGGAAAAGGATTTCTACAGTGTTCTGCTCTATAAAATGCTGTGTATGTGCTAAATGGGATGTGGTACTGCTTAGCTGCTAAAACGATGGGCATTTAATATATGTTAAGATACACCAGTATGCCAGAACTGAGAGGTACGCTGGCTGTGCTCAGCTTGAAAGAATTCTGCCTCGCTAGTGAGGAATATATGCACAAAAGACAGAAGTTTGCTGCATTCTCTACTAGGAACTTTTCATAGACATGGTACTCATAATGGAAGAGTGAAAGCAGAAGTTCTTCCGTCTCCATTGATATTTACATCTCTTCTGATCATTATCCAGGACACCAGTCCCATTCCCACTTCCATCCTAGCTGTGGTCTTCCACTGCAGGAACTTCAGATGGTGCAAAAAGGACCATGATGGGGTGCAATGGTCCAATGAAAATTTAAAGGTGTGGGAGATAGCGGCAATTGTTCTTTGTTGGGCCTCCTGATTTCACTGAGCTGAAATGGTGTCAGAATCTGAAATCTGACTCTGGGTACACCAGTGTCATCGTAATGAGGAAAACTGTTTGTCTGCCTCCCCCATCTGACCTTCCCTTGTATTTGCTGTCTCAGGGCCATTGCTGAATCTATCAGCGGGTTTTTATCTCTTTCGGTGAGTTCAGGATGCATGTTTCTGATACTGATCTAATGAACAGTGTCCTGGATCAGCACTCTGTTCCACACAGCTTCCAGAGTGAGAAAGAGAAGCTGGAGCGAAGGGAGTGATAGCTTGTGCAAACACCTCAAAGAGGCAGCTTGGTCAATATCAACTTGCAAAGACAATGACTGCCCCTAGCATTGGCACCAAATCAATAACCTGAGGCTGCTCAGAGGTGACATGTTATATTATCTTTTATACATCATTGGCAGAAGGAAATGATTCCTTCTTTAATGGAGCATTCACTTAACTCTTAGTGGTATCTCAGAGCTGCCTTTTTTACCTTGACCTGTGTTCATATTTAGAAAGATCCTACAACAGGGGCCTGTGCTGGAGATATGTGTCACACCATTGCTTTTCTGATCTGTGTGTGCTCCTAATGAGCTCTTTCTTTCTCTCTGACTTGTCCTTGCATGTTTTTAGTAATAATGCTTTCAAGATAATGATATTGTTTCACCTGGAACAGAACCAGGATTCCTCTTTTTTCTAGGAAGACACAAAAGCTTGCTTTTCTTTTTCATCTTTTTTTTACTTGCTTTTCTAGCTTTTTTTTCCTTACTTTGTATTTTTTCCCTTTTCTGATTTACCTTGGTTATTCATTCAAAATTTTTTTTCCTCTTCACTCTCCTTAACTGTCCTATTCATCTTTGTGCCCTTCAAACCTATGCTACCCTGGATGGAGAAAATGGAAACTGTTGGTAATGTTATGAAACCACATTATGGCCAACAGGTGCCACAGAGAGAATAGATTGCTATCTATGTCTTCTGTTCATATATACAGGTTATAAGAGCAGGCCCTTTTAAAATGGAAATTAAAATTTCTCTGAAAACTGCAAGTCATTTTTTAAAACTACTGTCACATAATAAGGTCCCTTGGCTGACGCATGTACTCATGGTTCATGCTGCTTCAATACATCAAACTGGATATACATGAGCATGAATGGGATGCACTCACGAGTACTGAGGGATCTGGTTTAATGTCAGTGCAAGGCCATTAACTTTGAACAATTGTGGCACTTGGGAAAGATACCTGAGGACTGGAGGAAAGCAAATATCACTCCTACCTTCAAAACAGGCAAGAAGAAAGATACAGGGAACTACAGGTCAGTCAGCCTCACCTCAATTCCTGGGAAGGTGGTAGAGTAATTAATCCTGGGAATCGTTTCCAGGAAGATGTGATGAACAAGAAGGTGACTGGGAGTCATCAGAATGGATTCACAAAGTCATGCTTGACAAACCTGACAACCTTTTACGATGAAATAACTAGTTTGGTAGACAAGGCGAGAGCAATAAATGACCTCACTAAGGCTTTTGACACTGTTTTATAAGATCCTTGTAGAAAAACTGATGAAGTGTTCACTGGATGAGCAGTGAGGTAGATTTAAAACTAGCCAATGTCTGAGCCAGGAGGGTTTTCATGATGAGTGGTGTGCAGTATAGTTGGAGACCAGTAACTAATAGTATAACCCGAGAGTCAATACTGGTCAACAATCTATTTAACATCAATCCCTTTTAATTTCATCAGCAACCTGCATGATAGTGCATAGGGCACCCTCAGTAATTTTGCTGATGACACAAAATTGTGAGGAGCGGCTGATAGACCCATGTCATGCTGTCATTCAGAGGGCCCTCAACAGGCTGGAGAAATGTACTGAGAAACCCCATGATATTCAACAAAAGGAAATCCCAAGTCCTGCCTCTGAGGAGGAATAACCCCAAGCACAGAGATGCTGGGCCCACCTGGCTAGAAAGCAGCTTTGCAGAAAAGGACCTGAGGGTCCTG